AGAATCTCTTTATAGTTAATTTGGAAGAGTTTTGAGGATGGAATGAAAGAACATACATGAATTCCATCCGTCCTTGTCCCTCTGGTTGACTTTTGGTCGAGGACTGCAGTTTCAGACTTTTTTTTGGTTTCCAGTGGAGTCCTGACTTTGAAATCTTTGGTAGAAGCTCAGTATATAAAATATCTATAAATGGAACAGCTCTGTTTGATGAGGGTTTGTGGTTTTCCTTTCTCATTTCTCCTCTTACTCCTCGCATCCTATGAAAAACCCCTGGGAAGCACACTGTGTCAACTCATGACATAGAAGTTGTGTGACATGATTTACCCCCAGGGAACATCAGGCATTGAATGAAATTTATGACGTCATGGAACGAGCACTGATTTACTCCTTTAGAAATCAATTTTATTGCTCCTGACTGCTCAATTCAAACAAGAAAGAGAGAAAACATTATTTAAGAGATCAGAATAAAAATAGACTCAGAACCTCCTGGTACACTAATGCTACAACTGTAAAAATAACTTTAAAGTACTATTTTTTATTGGAAAGCGAAGTGTGTAAGTTGAATGTGAAATAATATTAAATGTCCTTACACATTTTGATAACTGAAGATGCTGTGCATTTTCTCCTTTTTATTTTAAAGAGAAAAGAACAAAAACAAAATAAAAACAAAGACAAAAACAAAACAACACAGAAACTATAAAAAAAGGTACAGAATTTCAAAACAAGATGATAGGAAATCTACAGTTGTTGTTTTGTTACTTATTGTTATCTTCAAAGTAGTTGCTCAGATTACCAGATATAGGCATGCAAGATTGATCAACCAGTTAAGCATTAAGTGTTCCTTTCAATAAACCAATAGAAAACCAATAGAAATTAGTAGTACAATTATCTTAGCTATCTTATGTGTGTGTGTGTGTGTGTGTATATATATATATATATGTATTTCCTTTCCTTCTTTAGCATTTTCTCTTTTTTTATTTTTATTTTTTTCCCAGTACCGGGAATCGAACTCATGACCTCATGCTTGCCAGGTAAGCGCTGTGTCACTGAGCTAAATCCCCAGCCCCCTGCATTTTCAAATTTACTTCCAGAAAGCTAAAACTCCACTTTATACTGGATTGTTCTTAGAACTAACATTTTATCCTGAACTATTTACTTAAATTATTTACTCAATTTATTTACCTAAATGTAAGTATGAGAAGAAGTCTACAGGGGCAGGAAAAAATATTTAGCACTAATTCTGTAGCGAAATCATTACATGTATGTGTGGTTTTCCTTACTATGCAGTCTTGCTATTGAAAACATTGTTATTTCCTTCCTCCTCCGCCTTCCGCTGGCATAGGCCATCGGTTACCTGATGAAACCCTGGTAGACTATGGAAGTGTTTATGCAATGCAGGGCACTCAGAGGTTTGGTGAAAAAGAGCAGCAAGATTTACAAGCCCTGTCAATGAAATGTACATGGTCCAGCGCATTCTTAAAGGTAATATGAAAAACTAAAGCAGAATGAAGAACAAAGGAACAGAAACAAACAACCATAATCAGCACTAATGCAGAGACTCAAAACAGAAGGGATTTCTGCTTCTGCTTCTTTGCAGAATCTTCCACCTGGAATTCAGCCTCCTGCTAGTATTTATTTGACAGAGGACCCAGGCATCATCCTAATGACAAATTTTCCCAAGCGTGCTACAGAAAGAAATCCATCAGCTTCATTTGCAGGGATGAAATTCCTTCAGAAATAAAATCTTGACCCAAACTTTTACAAGAAACGTCTAATATTTTGATTGCAGGTTCCTATTTGAAGGTCATGGATGATCACTGAAGCTGTTTTCCTGCTTGTGGTGTGTTTTAGAGGCCAGTTATGACTGGGATGTGGCAATTTATAAGAGAAACATGGTGAAGCACTAAGAAATCGATAAACAGATGCCTGCAGGAAGAGCACCTGTTCCACTTTCTTGTAGAGGGGCATGTAGCCGCGAGAAGACAGATGTGCTGTGGAGTTGCACAGAAGGAGAAAGTCCGGGGAAGGGAGAATGGTTGTGGCTTCGGTGACAATGTAATCACATGACAGTGTTTATGAACACACAGTGCACACTTGGTTACACAGGGCCGCCACAGGGTGTGTGCGTGCTGTGGCCTCAACTTGCTTGTTGATGACATCATGAACTTGGCCTCTCACCAGGGGATTTCGAGAAAAGCCAAGCTATTGTGAAACATGCGGAAGCCATTCATCTCTTCTTCTCCAGGAAGAAGCCAGGGGGAATTGTGCAAAGGATTGAGTCAAGACACTGAAGTTGGCTGCAAACCGTGGAGCGGACTAGATCATCTGGTTAATCTTTTGAAAGTTTACTAGAAAACAAAGCAGCTCTTCCACCACAAGCTGTGAACTTGAGCGTTAGCTGTGTCTCTTTCTCTTGGGGTCTCCAGTATAAATGCTTATCGCGTCTTTATTTCTCTTAAGCTTTTCAGAAGTAGACTCTCACCTGTGGAATCCTGAGTGATGTTGAATCAAGTTGGCAGCAAGGCTGCTCCTGTGATTCTTCAGGGAAGACCCTGACCCCAGGATCTCTGACATCTGAATCCACACCTCAGCTTGACGTAACCCTGCTTTTTGCTTTTCCCTTTTGGTTTTCCTTTCTCGTCCTCATGTGCCTATGCTTGATTTTTCTTTGCAGCCTGTCTCAGCTGGACCCTTGCTCGTGAGCCCCTGGGCCTGGCTGGTTGAGCTGAACCAGTGTCATTTCGTGCCCTTGGTGGCATCCCCATGTGGTTGGTGGTGAAGGCAAAATGCTACCTGCATGGAGTCACTTTATGGATAGCAAGGCCTGTGGCAAGTTGGTTGTCACTGTCACTTGTCACTGTCTTGTTACAGGACAAAGATCACCCTTTTTGAGGACCAGCTTGCATCCGAACTCCTCCTCTTGACATGCCACCACCTGTGGCTTTCCTGGCCCTTACTGTAGGGACACACTTTCTGGGACACTTTTCCTTCTCTGTCTTTCCTTTGTTCTCATGTTCATCTACTCTCCCTTGTCTTCTGTAGAGCCTTCTTAGGATTTTGATTTGCCAAAAACATTGGAGCTAAGGAATTAGTGGCTAACAAATTTGATGTGAGTCAGGGAGCTCACATTTTAGGTAGAGATTCCATGAACTCCAACGCAGAGCCAGACAGTGAAATTTTTGGCAGTGTGAGATGTCATTGGTAAGGGAGACTTTTCTTGACATTTTGAAGCTTTGCTGGGCATGGTGGTGCATGCCTGTAATCTCAGCATTTGGAAGGCTGAGGCAGGAGGACTGCTGCAAGTTTGAGACCAGGCTGGGCTACAAAGTGAGCTCAAGGCCAGCCTGAACTTGATAGCGAGACCCTGTCTCAAAACAAAAACAAAAACAAAAGATAATTTAAAGCTTTATGTGTACACACAGGTGACATCTCATTCCACTTATTCAGGAGGTGAGCCTTAATTTGGTATCTAGAGGCTGCTAACCAAGCTATCTGCTGAGGATATAAAGGGTCTGGGAAGGGTCGTCATTTGGGGGTAGAAATAAAGGAAACAGTATTCATTGAGTAAAAGTTAGGAAGAAAACACTACAGTTAAGAAACAGTGCAAAACAGTGCAAACAGCAAATAAATATAAGAAAAAACGTTCAGTATCACTGGTCATTTGAGAGATGCAAATTAAGATAACACTGAGATTCCATCTCACTCCAGAAAGAATGGTTATCATCCAGGAATCAACCAACAACAAGAGCTGGCGGGGCTGTTGGGAAAAGGAACCGTTCTGTATGGTTGCTGGGAGTATACATTGGTACAACCAGTATGGAAATTGGTATGGCTATTCCTCAAAAAATTCAAACTAGGGGTTCTGTTTTACCCCATTAGTCCCCTTTTAGGTGTCTTCCTAAAGAGTTCAAAGCCAGGGGCTGGGGATTTAGCTCAGCGGCACAGCACCTGCCTGGCAAGCGCAAGGTCGTGAGTTCGATTCCCGGTACCGGGGGAAAAAAAAAAAAAGAGTTCAAAGCCTCATACCACAGTAATATATGCATACTCAATGTTTATAGCAGCATAGTTTGTAATAGCTAAGTCTTGGAGACAAAAGAAAGAGGAATCAAAATGCATCATGTACAGATACAAATTCTGATGAATATGAGTTTTACATATATCTAAAATGTACCAATAAATTTAACTAGTTAAAAAACATGAACAAATGAAAAAATGTGGTATTTATACACAGTAGAGTGCTATCCTGCCGTAAATATGCATAAACTTAAACGGATGCACCTCGAGACCATAATTTTAGGGGAAATAAATTGGATGTACAAATTTAAATATCACATTGTTCCTCTCGTGTTAGAAACCCGAAGGGTAAATAAGGAGTAAAATGGAGGACAGACACTGGGAAGTAGGAAGATGTTGTTCAAATGCCAAGGGGAGCAAGAGAGGGGAGAGAGGGACTGGGAGGAAAGGAAAAGGGGGAAAAAGAGACTAGAAAGGAAAGAAATGGGAACAAAACTTCATAACTGAGAAAGGAAAGAAGGGTTGAAGGGAGAGGAGGAGAATGGGAAAAAGAATGAGGGTATTACGTACCATCACAAATGTCCTTTGATGAGTATGATCATTGTGTGTGGCAAACATGTACTAATGAAAGAGAAACTAGGTGCAGAACATAGGTATTTTTAAACACCTGTGGAACCTGTATTTTGCTAATATTTTCCTGCACCTGCCTCTGATGCAGAACAGGCAAATATAAGGTTACCCAAAGAGAGGCATGTGTCATAGAGCTGGAAGTGATTTACATGCCAAGAAGATTGCAGTTATTCTCATTTCAAATCCTGGGGTACCTGGGCCATGCAGGTGGCCGGGCTTTTGCATAAATTCAGGGAGAGGGGTTCCTGAGTCTCTAGTCTCAGCTGGGTGATTTGTCTGGAGATACTGTTTTCCCTGTGGATGTGTCTCAGTGTTCTGGAGTAGGAGCTGATCTGAATAGGTCCACTCTAGAGAAGATGCCTTCCTCCCACACGTTGGTCTTCATGGTCATCTTCTCCCTGGGGTCGTTGGCTGCTGTGTTACAGAATGGTCTCATGGTCACCTTGCTGGGCAGGGAGTGGTTACGGTGTGGGACGTTGCCTGCAGGCGACATGATTGTGGCTTGTCTTGTCACTTCCCGGCTCTGCCTACATGGAATAAGCATCCTGAACAACTTCGTGAACTTCTTTGATTTTTGCTACAAGGCTAAAACTCTTGGCATCCTCTGGGACTTTATTAACACTCTCACTTTGTGGCTTACTGCTTGGCTTTCTGTTTTCTACTGTGCAAAGATCTCCACCTTTTCCCACCCCGTCTTCCTCTGGCTGAAGTGGAGGATTACTCGGTCAGTGCCCAGGCTGCTGCTGAGCTCCCTATTCTTCAGTGGCCTGTCGGGTATTTCATCAGTTGTAGGGAATGCAGTAGGCATTGAGACAGCGGCCTCCCAGGGTTCCCATGGAAACTGCACCCTATCTCACAGCATTCTAATTTTTCGTCAGTGGTACTTTTTCTGGCATTCGGTGGTTATGTGGTTCACTCCGCTTCTCCTGTTCCTGGTGCCCATTGTCCTGCTCATATTCTCCCTGCACCGGCACGTGCAGCAGATGAGGGACTGCATGTCCGGGCCTCGCGATCCCAGCACCCAGGCCCACACCATGGCTCTGAAGTCACTCTCCTTCTTCTTCGTCTTTCATGTACTGCATGTCCTGACCCTGCTCATTTCTATGATGCAGCTCATAACCGTCTGGAATCCCTGGCACTGGGCCTTCGAAATGGTACTTTATGCAGGTCTCTTCCTGCACTCCATTGTCCTGATGCGAAGCAGCCCCAAGCTGAGAAAGGTCCTGAGAATGAGATTTTAGGCACTTTGAAGGCCCTGGATAAAGAGTGGTTCCACTTTTAAGCAATTGGCCTCAATCACCAGAACTCTGATGACTAATCTCACGAGTAGAAAGAACTGATAAGGTTTGGGTATGCTCTCTTTTCCTTTCCCCCTTCTCCCACTCCTTCCACAATCCAGTAATTCTTTTTCCATCTCTCTGTGTTCCTACTGTCCTCATCACTGCTGCTTGTCTCTGGTCTGAGTCCCAAATTACCTTGGCCTTAGGTGGTGGCCTCATCTCCTTAGGGCCTTTCTCATTCGCTGTGCAAGCAGCCATAGTCTTCAAATATCGTGATGAAGACCTGTAACCATCATCATGATGCTGTAGCTTTTGAGCAGCATATGTTCCCCAGCACCACCCACCCTGCGGTGCTGACTCTCTCCACACTCCCCACCCTGCCCCAGCTTGGTCTCTGTTCAGTCCAGCCCTTTACATCTTCCCACAAAGTCCTTCCCTCCACCTTTAATTCTTTGGGCCTTCAAAGAACCAGAACTTCCTTCTTCTTTCTTTTTCTTCTTCTTCTTCTTCTTCTTCTTTTTTTTTTTTTTTTTGTCTTTTTGAGGCAGGGTCTTGCTATACAGTTCAGGCTGGCCTTGTGCTCACTTTGTAGCCCAGGCTGGCCTTGAACTCACAACAATCCCCCTGCCTCAGCCTCCCGAGTGCTGGGATTATAGGCATGTGCCAGCATGCCCGGCCCTTTTGTCTTCTCTCTTCCTTTCTTCTTCCCTTTCTCTGCCACCTTTGTGCTCTGCTTAAAACTGATTCCACCCATGGAGATTTTTCAGTTTGGTCCCAAGGAAGGCTGAGGACACATACGAGTTTTGTTATACTGAGGTCCTATCCATGGCTTCAGGTGTTTATTTCATGTTAAGTTAAAAGGAGTTGTCTATTGTGGAAGGGATTTTAGGTTTGGGCTTAGAGAAGATAGATGGAACAGAAAGGGGGCTCCCCACAGTTCTTAATGTTGATGTTCTACCCTGCCAATGTGCTCACCCATGATGGGGCTGCTGGTTGATCTTGACCGGGATGGTGGTCTCCAGACTGGAGCTTGTGCAGGACGAACCACTGGAAGTGGGGAGGAAAACATGGCAACTTTAATTCCATGTGCTTTAATTTCAACTTCCTATTTTTGTGTGCGTTTAATGTGTATATAGTGTATCAATAAACTAGTACATGCATATAATTAATATGCATGTGATAGTAACTTAATCAGCTTAGGCTGCTGAATATTATAGACTAAGAGTTTATTTATTTCTTCCTCACAGTTCTAGGGCCTGAAACTCAAGATGGCAGCACCAGTGAGTTCTGGTGAGGGATCTATTATTCTGGGTTGCAGACGGATACCTTCTTGCTGTGTCTACATGTGGAAGAAAGATATCTGTTTTGTGTTTCTTTTTATAAGGGCACTAACCCCACTCATGAGGGCCCCACTCTTTTGACCTAATTATCTCACCAAAGCCTCATTCTCCAAATATCATGTCTATGGATTAGGGCTTCAACATATGGATTTTTGGAGAACACAATAATTCAGTCCATGGCTGAAGAGATGTGTGCTCACTGGAGTTCACCAATAAAAAAGTAAAATAAAGGGAGATAATAGGAAGTAGGGAGATGGATTTTTCTTGAAAGGGAAGGAGATTAAGAGAGGGAAGGAGAGGACTGTAGGAGGGTGAAAAGCAGAACTGAGATGCCTTATGTGCAGGTATCAACTCCGCACAAGGAATGTAAACATGATGTGCTATACACATGGACAAAATGGGAGGGAGATCAGGAGATGGATGGAGCAGGGAGGGAAAGAAGGGCAAGGGGATAAAAAGGAATTAAGATGTATTATACAGTGATGTAACAACCCCCAGGGAGAATGTAAACATGATGCATTACTACAATGCACTAATAAACAAAAGTAAAAAGCAAGTATGGGAGGCAGTAGACAAGAAGAGTAGGAGGAACAGACCCAATATGGTCAAATGAGGCATAGTAAATAACAGGACAGAACAGAGATTGCAGTGAATTTCAGATAGATAATTGAATTTATGTTTTAATGTTAGCTGGAGTCCACGCTACAGCAAGAGGAGAAAAGAACGACTAGAGATCTAGAGATGAGATAACAAGGTAATGAGTTTTTTTTTTTTTTTTCTTGGAGAAAGATAACTAAAGCTTTTCTTTTTTGGTCATTTTCAGCCACAAAACTTTATTTTTTATTTTTATTTTTGGTACTGGGAATCGAACTTAGGACCTTACGCTTGCCAAGCAGAAGTGTGTGCCACTGAGCTGTATCACCAGCCCAAAACTTTGTTTTTAAAACCAACTATAAAGGCCCAGAGACTAGGGTTCAAAAACAAAAATGGATCATAAATAGTCATAGCTGTCTTGACCTTGCTCATGCTAGTAGCTGAAGAGGAATTCTACTGAATGTCAAACCAGTGTCAAATCAATGTCTACTGGACTCAAGAAAGGGCCTTGTTATGGTGTTGGTCAGCCTTCTTGAAAAAACCATCTGTAACTTTCCCATTTAATGGGCCTCTGGTCTTAACTACCAAAGCATTCTTTTTCCTAAAGGAAAAGACTAGTAAGAAATATTTGTATGTATCATGCATTATCTAGTTATGCCTACTAACATCTTAGAAAGTGTTATGAAATAAAAAAATGAACTATTTATAGTTCCTGTTGATGGTGTCCGAATGATTTATTGAATGATGAATACCTTAAACTTTGTTACTTTCCTGTCTCAGAAACTAACAAAATGACCTTGATTAAGCCCCACTGGTTACTAGTTTGGTGACTAGTTCAAACAGGACTAGCAACCCCTAAGGCTTATGACATAAGCACTTAGGCATTATTTGGACCATGATAAGATTACACAAACTCTACTGCCTAGCCTCGGAAATATCTGAAAAATTAGGGCAAAAGTGAGAGAAATCAGTCCCTGGAACACAAACCATGGCACATCTATTCCTGACCACCATGTAGGGAAAACTTTATTTTTTTGCTTGTTTAAATTTTCCTTAGTCGTCCACTTTTTTAATGGCTGCCTGGATGGCTTTTTGGTCCCTTAGGAACTGGTAAGGTCCAATGGTGTGCAGGTTCTCACCCAGAGAATGAGGACTTCAATAGGAAGAGCAATATTGATGTTGTCTTCATCTGGGATACTTCCCAGATGTTTCAGGAGAGCTCAACTGCTATTTCTGTGAGCATCAGTGCTCTTTTCTAATCCTGGAGCCAGAAGCGATAACTGAAGCTTTAAAAGAAGAGATACTTAAATTCCTGGCAAGAAGCACAGAGAGGAGAGAATAGAGGAAAGAGGGAGAGAGAGAGAGAGAGAGAGAGACAGAGACAGAGAGAGACAGAGAGCCACAGAGAGAGACAGAGAGAAATAGAGATCTGTGGGAAGCTGTTACTTGGTCCACTCAATTTTATAGAACCCCAGGGCCCATGAATTGTCCAGTGTAGAGAAGACTTATTATCTTCACCATCATTCACAAAGACTATTTTTGCAACAACACAAGTGAGCTGATGACTTTCTTCAGATGGTGATGAAGAATTGGGACAGACCCTTGTTCTTGAGGCTCAAGTCACAAATCGGCTGGGTGGAGGCAGTGAAGGCAGAAACATCGAGCTCACTGCTCCATTGCTTCTCCTTGGGAGCATCTGGAAGCCAGACTGTCTGGCCCTGGGCAGAGCTGCAGTACTGTGCTGGCGATCTTTGGGTAGGGGGCGTGGCAATGCAACTAATGACCTACCGTGTTGGAGCAACACATTGAGTTACATTAAGTCTTTTTGGCTTGTATCAGGGGTTCTTAATTTGTGGATGTTCTAAGCCTCCTTTCTGGAACTGTAGTGTATAAGTACAAAAAAGAGTGATTGCTCCATCTTGACTATATAGATATATTCAATATCTTCATCTATACAGATAAAACCCAGTCTCTCATTCTAAGATTTCTGTGTTCTTTCTTCAGCCTACATTTTCTGCCCAATGTATAACTAGTCCTTTATGTGAATCCTCTGTGATACCCAAACTTAGATATCTAATCTTACTTGATGTAATCGATTTTCCACCTATTTTACTGATGCTTTGTCCTCTTGTGACATCAAAATAACATCTTTCTTGTCTCACAGCGATGGAGCTTCTGCTGGCACTGAAGTATTCTAACAATTCTTGAGATGGGAACAGAATGATATACAATGTTTAGAATTGCAGCATGACACCCCTTTAAAAAGATATTTCTGATAGAGTGATGAATTGGGAATTTCCCATCTAACTTATTCTGGGTTTTTATCCACCACCCTCATGGTTTTATATTATAAAAACTACAGGAAATTAAAAACTCTCTAACTTGGCTTCTTCCTAGGAAAATCAATTTAATTATGAGAAAACAAAATGCCACAAGCACAAAATGCAAACAGTAACAAATAAATTATCACAGCGGGCATTACATATTTAAATTTCAGTGACTGTTTGCCCTTTTGAATTAACTTGATCCCCACATAGCATATTCTCAGGGAATATTTGTGGTATATACCTAGGGCACAAAATCACTTTGGGCCAGATATCTAATTCATTATTGTAGCCCAAATGCTTTTCATAGAATTATTACAGCAGAGAAGATACTTAAAAATTGGTGAGTGAATTCAGGGCTAACTGCACATCGTTCTTATCTTACCAGTCAGTGAAGGCGTAGAAGGTACAAGTTTTCCATATTAGGAGGTTTGTGCCTGGCAAGACTTCACAGTTAGAAGCCCATTGGTCATCTCACTCTTTCAAGTTCCAGTAGAAAAAGTCAAAGGTCAGCCAGAGAATCCAAGCCAAGGAAGAGGGCAGTTGGGAATCTTTGCTCTCTAGAAATTATAATTTTTACAGGCAGAGTGAGTACAGCTGTTCATTTTTCTTGGACTCAGGCACATAGCGGTCACTATAGTTGGCCCCTGTGTTAGAGAAACAGTTCTATCTAAGGTGAACAGAAAATGGGAAGAGATGCCAAACCTTCTGCATTCTGCTGTCTCTTTGTGGGGTTCCCTGCATGGAACTGGTGGGTCATGGTGCTGGCCAGAAGATGGGGTACCATTAAAATAGCCCTCATTTCCATGTTGCTGGATCCTGAGCCTTCCATATTGCTACAACTGACCCAGAACAACTTTTACTTGCTTATGTCCTGGTGATACATTAACCTACTTACACTCATCTGGGGGTTGGTTTTTGATTTTTTTTGACTCTTTGTAGCTAATATTCTTCTCTTCTTCTCTTCTCCTCTGATTAACATAGATGGTCCAACATTTGGTGTCTTAGGCCTCACTGTATCCCTGATGCCCTCTTAAATTCCTCTTGGGCCACTTGTGAGTGACAGGTGAAGTCATAGACTGGGTGGGAGATGGTCATTATAATAAATCATCGTCATTATCATAATCACTTCCTCCTCCTCCTTCTTCATTTTTTTGTTGTATTGGGAATTTAACCCAGAGCTTTTGCACTGAGTTACACCCTCAGGCCTTTCTACTTTTAAATTTTGGTACAGGGTTTCATTAAATTGCTATGTTGCCCAGCCTGGGACTGAACTGTTAATGCTCCCACCTCAGCCTCTAAGTGCTGGGATTACAGGTGTGCACCACCACACCTTGTCAGAATTACTTCTGTGCACCTAGATTTATAATTTCTAAAATATTCTTGTATATTTATCATCACACTTATTTGTGGTCCATCTTTTCATAGGTGAGGAAAGAGGAGTTTAGGGGGTCAAATGACTGCCTGTGAATTCATAGCTCTTAATTGTGACAAGATGCAAAACCCCACCTCCCGAGTCAAGCTAAGGATGAAGAACGTACGGCGTCAGTTATGCTGCTAACTACGAAAAAGATCCCTGGTACTGGAGTCAGTTTGGTTCTTGGTCTTCCCCTGTGATTTTTACATGGGACCCTTAACCTGTAAGCTAGGGCCTCATTTCCTTTATCTGTGAAGTTATTTTTCATTTCTTCTTGTAGCCTAAATGAGATTCCAACACAATCCCGAGACTCAGGACAGACGTTTTCATATCGTACAGACAGGTCCACTGAGGCACAGAGGGGTTCAATGCCGTACCTGAGAACCCACAGTGAGGGCTGGGGCTTGCACAAAAGCCTGTCCTACTTGTAGGCCAGGGCTTTCTCTGCCATATCCTGTGGGTCTTTCTTACTACCCCAGTGGGTTTCTCTATGTGATGCCACCTTAAAGGTCACTATTATAAAATACTCTAAAAATTTTGGAAAAGATTTGCCTGCTTCATTATAGAGAATTGTATTTATGTTCCATTCTTGACACTGGGCCTCCAAGTAATAGAGCTGGAAATAACCTCTTTCTGTAAGGGTTTTGCTCAGTTTTCTCTTTGTCTGTCTGTGAGAGGGGCATTCTCATAACGTGTACTTCTGAGGGCCGTTGTGAGAACTAAACACGCAAGAACCGATAGCTGAAATGCAATCGTTCCCTGCTATCCTTCATGGATATGAGCTTTGACTCGGCCGAAAGTGTGGATTTCATTTCTGAGTTGGCGCAGGTGTGCGGCCCTGTCTTAGGTGTCAGCTTAGAGAAGTAGGAGCTCCTATGTAAGGGACACTACACTGAGGGCGTGATATATTATCCACACCCGTGCTGACAGTGGAATAAGCAGGTGAGCAGGCAAATTCACAGCAGGTGGGGAGCTTTGGAAACTTAGCCTTAACAACATTTGCATCCATTCTGAGGAGGAAAAACCTCTTTTCCCCTCTCAGACAGCCAGCATCCTCTACTCTGGCTTAGTACAGTAGTTGGGGCCATTGGAGAGACAGACATCGTACAGGGCAGCCCAGCGGAAATGGTCCTTGATATCTTGAAACCCATCTTGTGCACAGCAGAAATGAATGATGAGCACATGGCTTCAGGATACCCAGTGATAGATAAGAAAGTCCTCATCTTCATTATCATTTTATGGCTTTTGTGCCTAATCACGGTGTTGTGCTGCGGCTTTATTGTTGTAGCGCTGGGCATGGAGTGCTTGCTACGGAGAACACTGTCGCCTTATAATAAGTTATTGGCCAGCCTAGGGGTCTCTCGCTTCTGCCTTCAGTGGGTGACGATAGGTAAGAGTATTTATACTTTCCTGTATCCAACAGCCCTCCTATACGACCGCATGATGCAGTTCCTAAGCTTTTTTTGGGATTTCCTGAATGCTTACACCATTTGGTCCTGCACCTGGCTCGGTTTTTTTTATTGTGTAAAAATTGCTAACTTCACCCACCCTGTCTTCCTCTGGCTAAAGGGCAAGGTGTCTGGGTGGATACCGTGGCTGCTGCTTAGCTGTGTGGGTTTTTCTGGCTTGACCAGCATCCTGTTTTTCACAGGCAATCATATACTGTATCAGAACTATCTCAGGGGCAATTGCCAACTCTGGAATGCCACTGGGCACAGTATGAGGTCATTTGAAAAATTGTACTTCTTCTTTCTAAAACTGACTAGTTTTACAATCCCTCTTGGAGTCTTTCTCATTTTCACGGTTCTTCTCCTCATATCCCTGGGAAGACACATGAAGAAAATCCTGTTGACCCTCTCAGGATTTCAGGATCCCCCGATTCAGGTCCACCTCAGAGCTCTCCTCAGTATCATCTCTTTTGCCCTCCTCTTCACCTCCAGTTTTCTGGCACAGGTGCTTAATTCTAGCACCAACACTCCGTTTCAGGAGGTTAAGCACTGGGTCTGGCAGGTAGTGTCTCATCTGTGCATGGCTGCCCACTCCCTCCTTCTGCTCTTCAACAACCCCAGGCTGAGAGCCACACTGGAGCGAGGCTGCCCCAAGGTGTGGGGCATGCTGAGCTGCAGCTGATGAAGAACCTCCACATGCTGGGTACAGCAAGACAGAGCTGCTGTCTTTGCTGCATGTAATGTGTTCTCCCTCTTTGCTTTGGTACATTTTTGTGTGTGTGTGTGTCTTTTTGAGACAGGGTCGCTCTATGCAGTTCAGGCTGGCCTTGAGCTCACTTTGTAGCCCAGGCTGGTCTCAAACTTGCAATGATCCTCCTGCCTCAGCCTCTTGAGTGCTGGGATTACAGGCATGTGCCACCACTCCCGGCCTGCTTTGCTACAGTTAGAAGCTATAAGAATAACTTCAACAGAATGGGATTCCAGTTGAGACCTGTGCTCCTGAAACATGAGCTGGTGTCACCAATATGCACCATGTTCTTGTGGGACTTGAGGCTTTCATGGGACTGGGGAAATTTTACTTTCCCTTACTTGATCGCTTGGTGTTTAAACTATCCCGGGAACTGGATGGAAATTTCTGGACACATCATACAATATTTTGGGTGCTGAATCAGACTGGAGAAGAGTTTGGAACTTCCATTTTCCTCGGGCGGCATCCTGTGGACCATCTCTCCTTTTGTACAGCTTCACAGTCTTCCTGACATCTGCTGTGGCGAAGATCTTTGTCCCACTGAATTCATGAGTTCCTGGAGTCTGAGTTTTCTACATAGAGCATGGCGTGATATGGGCATGTGTGCTGCAGGATGTGTGGTCTTGGATGTGCATGTTCTCAGATGATCTTCCGAGAGCCATTCTTCTGAGAACCAGCAATTTATATGGAATCCAGCATGCATATGTTTTTGATGTGTTCTACCCTGGCCTAGTGTATCCGTCTGTTCTATAAATGTTAAAGTTTGTGTGCTCAGATGTAACTTCTTTGTTCATACTGGGACCTACTGAAATGTTTGCTATGGATAGATTCATCTATCTTTATCTGAATTTAAAGATTTAAGAATAAAAAGGCTCCTGGCTCAGAAAATAGAGTGTAGAGTGCTTTTCTGCTTTTCACAGGTCTTTGTAAGCGCTTCCTAATCTCGGTTATCCCTTGAACCATTCAGACTGAGTGCCTGGACTTCCCTCTTTCCCTTGTAATGTGCCTCAGTCTCATTTCCTATTGGTTACCACTTCTGCTCCTCTGTAGTGGAAGGTGGATCCCTGCTTTTGATTTTCAAGGTTCTACTCCATGCTCCCAATCCACTCTCTCCTGTCTCCTGCCCATCCCCTCAGCTCAGCCAAGCGTTACTTCTTCCTCTACCTTCAGCTTTGACCTTTCCCTTGTTATTGCCCTTTCCTTCTTCTACAAATATTCCTCTAAATTTTTCTTTGAAAAAAAAAAAAAAATCCCGCGTCTGACTTCCTCCTCACAGGCCCATTCACACATCTGCCCCTTGCAGAGATGTCATCCTGCTTTGCTCCCTGTTCTGACAAAAAATGTTTCTACAAGGACAGGTGGGATTTTCCAAGTATTATAAACACTTCGCACCAGCCTCCCCGTGCCTGTATCTTTGTGATGTTTGTCTTTCTTGCTGACAGTCTCCTAAAAGCAATTAAAAACACACATTTTATAAAAGTATGGTTTAATCTATGTAGAAGACTTTTATAAAAATCACCAGTGGTTGCCCGTTCCCATGTCATCCTGAAAGTAGTTCTCTTGGCTTCCGTGATTCTGCTCTGGGTTCTCCTGATCTGGATTCTCTGGGTTCTCTTTGAGTTTTCTCTCCTTACCTACTCACCCTCCTGCCCCTTTGTTCTTTCCAGAGCCTGCCCTCCTCTTCCTTTGAGAGTCCATCCAGTCCTGTCCCTGTGTGTTTCATCTGCTCACATAGCTTCAGTTATTTACTCCACGCAAATAGTTACCGAATCCTAGACTTTCCTCTAATCTCTACACCTGTGTATTGTTCCTCTTCTTTGACATTATTACCTGATGGAGTTATGAGTCCTTAGCAAGCTCAGAACTTATTTCATTTCTTCCTTCTCTTCCTCTTTTTCCTCCTCCTTCTCTTTTACTTCCCCTTTCTTTCTCTGTATCCCTATTTGCCCCCTTCACTGTTCATTTGAACCTATTTTTCTATTACTTACATGGATTAAGTCAGGCTTATGACAACTGAGTTGATTTTTCCTCTCCACTGTCCGCTGGGCCCTGGTCATTACCCAGTAACCCATTTTCACTTCGTACTTCTGCGTACTTCTGTGATGCCACCATTGTTTGTCCTCTTCTTTCTCTGTAGATCCTGTTTTAGATGAGATGAGCTTCCTGCCCCAGCTGACCTGTTTATGTTTCTTCTGCGCCACTTCCTCTATGACAGTTTCTCCCACCCTAATCAAAATTACCGCTGGAAGCTTCATCCCTAATGTAATGGTAATGGGAGGGGGTGGAACTCGAAGTGTGGCGGCGTGGAAGGTGATCAGGTCCGGGGGCTCGAGCTTGGAAGAGGTTAATGTAATTCTCACTGGACTGAGTTAGCTTTTGTGAGAGTAGACTGTTACAAAATGAGGCTGCCCCAAGTTCTGGGTGCATGTGGCGGTTTCCCTTTCTGCTTTTCTGTCCTGGATCGGAGGCCCTTCCCAGACATGCTGCCATGCTGTTTGGATTTTCCAGCCACCAGATTTGCAAGATAAATAAACCCCTTATAAATGCTCAGCCTTAGTTATTTTGTAATAGGAGCACAAAATGGACTAAGAGAACGACCACTACCAGGTTAATCTCCTGAAGGTGTAAGTCTGATCATTTCAATTATATGCTGATTACCTCTCAGGGCCAACTTAAAGGAAGAACTGGCCCCTAGACTTGGCATCCAATGACCTCTATAGTCTGGCAACAGTTTTATCTTGCCCTGTTTCCATTCTAGTACAAGCCTATGTTTCAGTGAATTTGGGTTTTCTTGTTAGGAGCATGCCTGGGGCTTCTCTGACATTCTGAAAAATGTTCTCTTATCACTAGATGTACCTGTCAAAGTCCTCTTTATCTTTCTTTTTCTACGTTTAACTTTTAAAGGTTAATTCACATCGTACCTCTTCCATGCAGCTGTTTTTGAGTGATTGCTAAACTTTCATGTTTTCTGTGTTTAAGGACACATAAGTTGGGGTTCCTCAGCAGTGACCTGAATTTTGCTTTGTGGTGCTGTTCTTTGCAAATGTGCCTTCTCTTCCCTAGGAGGTGTTTAATTTCCCAGCGATATGGGCTGACTCATACCGTTCCACACAGCCTCTGCAGCACATACAAGTACTTGCTACATTAAGAATGACTCTGTAACACTTGGAATCCAGCTGTAAGCATGTATACCTGTGTCTGTTTATTCATCTCTGTTTTTATGCTTTCATTGTGTGGTCAGCTTACTTTTTGGAAGTCAAACTTACATTCATCTTTTATTTGACTTTTGTACAATGTAGAAATAATAGATGTAGGAAAAAGAATGAGTGTCTAATGTTATGATGTCTTTGGCTTTTTTCCTTTCTATGCATTTGGCTGTTGCTAAGCAACTGGGAGCAGCAGGCTATTAGGTCCTTCCAGCAGAATCTCTAAGAGATGCGAGCTCTTTTTGTTCAACCCAGCCTCCTTTTCTGAATCTCCCTACATAAGCTACTCTTTGTTCCTTCCTGTGTTTACATCATTACCCCAGGAGAAAAAAACCTTCCAGAATCAGAGTAAGTTCCACACAGGGGCAAGTTCCCTTGGAGCTTGAACACACAGGAAAACATAAGAGAAGTTTTGCTGTATTTTAAAAATACCTGGTAACTTCTTTTTATCATTACCTTTTGCCCAGAGCCAATTTCATCATGTATTAAGATATGGATATTAATAACATAATTTACCAAATGTCTGTTTTGTGTGAGGCATGGGATAAAGATACTGCTTAACTTGGATCTTCCATATGAAACATTATGGCAGGGCAGAAACCGAGCTTAGATTTAACGAGGTCATGGCTGGTAGTGACAGGACTAAAATAATTTAGTGCTAGCATTTAAAACAGTGTGGTGTTTATGTTGATAACAAGATAATGAAGGGGTGAATAAGGTACATCAACAAAAGAATCTAGATAATAGTTATATGAAAGTGTGCGAGATAAATAAAGCTTTTAAAGTAACTGGGGGAAGATGGATATTTAATAGTATCAGAGTACATTGGTGCTCCAGCTGTAAAAACAAAAATGAAATTAAAACTTTATCGTAAATTGCAGATAGATGATCTTTAACATTTTTTTTTGTGGTACTGTGCATGTTAGACAAGTACTTTCTCTACTACTGAGCTACACCCCAGCCCATCTGATATTTAATTTAAAAATTATTTAGCTTTTTAAAGCCTTTTAAAAAATTTTTTTTAAAAGATTCAATTTGTACTACATGTTATCCCATAAAATAGACTGTTTGAATTAAAATATTTTCCATGCTCACCTCACGCTTTTGGATGTAACACTGCAGGGTGTATATATATTCTTCAGCTGCCAGAAATAGAGAGGTCTCCTTAAATGTGACTAAGAATATCAAATTGTAGGGAAAATAATTGGTAAATGTGACTTCAGAAAAGAATTAAAAACATTTCTTTTTTGTTTTTTAAATAAAAAGATACTATACATAGGGACCAGTGAATCTTTTTCATTTTTAAGAAATAAGAATTTATGTCTCTGGGCTGGGAATATAGTTCAGAGGAACAACGCCTGCCTGGCAAGCATGAGGTCCTGAGTTCTACTTCTGGTTCCAAAAAATAAAAGAATTTATGTCAAACAGCTCTGTCAAACCAGTAAGACAAACAGCTCCTTCAAATCAATAAGAAAAATATAAGCAAAATAACAGATGGTGGCTACATGGTAAAAAATAGATAATTCACATAGAAAGAGCTATAGAAAGCCAAGTAAACATGTGAAAAACTAATCTTCAACTTTGATGGGAAAAGTGCAAATTAAAACCACAATAGGCTTTTTGCTATAGATATAGCTATAGAAATAATCAGTTTTCCCTTTCTTTCCCTGGAAATCACATAAGAGCAACAAGACAGTCAAAAGAGATTCTGAAAGCTTTATTTTTAGT